GAAAATACCAAAACATACCATAATGCTCTTTGTTTGTCACCCCAAATTTTGCAAGAGCATTGTTTTCATTTTCTCTTGGGGCCATTTTAACTCCCAAGAGAAACTTAAGACAATGCTTATGCCAAATGTTGGAGTGACAAACAAAGAGCATTATGGCATGTTATGGTATTTCTGGAGCGGTCAATTGTTGTTTTTTTCACAGCTCTGGTCAAGGGCATTCAACGACTGTTTTCTGTAAAATATCTGTTCGGAGAAGCAAATTTCGCCTAGAATTTTCTTTTACTTGGCTAAAAATTTTAGATGACCATTCCATTCACAGGTTGAAAAAAGGTGTTTCCATTTCCGTTTTTGTAACGGTTACCTCACGGAAACTTGAATATCCGCAGACGGAATTGTAACTAACCGTTGCGGGAATCACGTGTATCCGTCATGTTTCAGTTTCTGCGGACACGCTTAAACGCATCCCTTATATTGGCGTTCCCGTCAGGTTCACTCTTGCGAAAACGCTAACTGCCGCCATGTTTCCGCAGCTCGTAAATTCAGAGGATACTCAATTATCCGTTGAGTTCCCGGAACAATGAATGCGGAGACTCAGTTTGATCGGTTTACTTTCTGCAGCCTTCATGTTTCCCCAGATTCCACTTTCGGTGGATTACTCACTGGATTTCCTAAATGTGTTAACTTTACTTAACCATCCAGTTTCGAATCATATGTTTATTCTATCCGGTATATAAAAAAGTGGACGTTTGTGAGACAACCCTGGACCGTTTCTTGCATCTACAATGACCCATTTTCGCTGATACACACAAATCAAGAAGAGTCATATTTGGGTGTATTTTTGCTATTAAAGTTTTTATTAAAATAATTCTCTCTCCATTTTCATATAATATGTACATATGTATATTACATATTTTCACAATAAAAAAGAGACTCCTTACAATGTATTTCTATTTTCTATATCCAAAACTCTAACTTTTACATTTCAGTAGGCCACTTCCGAGTTCCAAAAACCCTCACTTTCAAAATGAGGCTAGGTGCGCAACCTTTCTTGTGAAAATGAGTTTTATTTGCATGAGAATGAAAAGTGATTTAAATATCAAGAGCTGAGCACCTACCCTCGTTTTGAAACAGAGGCCCGGGGGAACTCGGAAATGGCCTTTTAAATAATCCTTTTAGAATTGACAAAATTCAAACTTTTTTCCTTGAAATGATTAAATTAACATAATAATTATACAGTCTAACCTCTTCTTATGGACACTTCTATAAGACAGATAGTTTGTTTGGTCCCACAAATGCCAAAAATCACACATTCCCTACCTCTATAATACGGACACCTCTGTAAAGCGGACACTTGGTTCGGTCCCTTTGGTGTCCGTATTAAAGAGGTTTAATTTGACTGTGTAATAATTAAGTAACTAACATTATTATAAGTAACGTGCATTTCCATTCCAAAAATAACTCCAAGAAGTAGTTCACAGCAAAACTATTACATAATTTAATACGAACAATATTACAAATAAAAGTCTTACTTAGTTACATGTAAGACTGCATACAATCTCATTAGGAAATCTAAACTGCTGGCTTAATTCTTATACCATATCATACCATAGCAAGTACCAGTACTTGGTGGATCATCCCCAAAAATTATTGTTAAAGCCTATACAAACTGCTGAGAGGCCATCATTGGGGAGTATCAGACTGATGCTACAAAGACGATAGTGATGCAAACAAAACTAGCCATAGGCTTTATATACAAATGTGTAAGCCAACATCTCTACACATGTATCTCAATTTTTGTCCCCACTCTGCTGTAACTGCATGGCTGCAACTTGGACCTGGCTGTGGCATACAAAGTAGTCTACGAGAATTTGCCTACATTTGAGTTTGAATAATAATGACAAACTGTGCACTTTTAACAAGTGACTCACTTTCACAATGCATCTATCTTACATTCCCTGTTTTATAGTTTTAGGATAATCCATTGACTGTCCTGGAATTTCAGCAATTTTAATGAACACAGTCGAGTAAAGATTGTCTTTAAGAATAAAACTCTTATCACCTTTCCAATAAGATTGTGCAATTTAGTTAAAGCTGATCATCACAGGGTCATCCTGACTAAAGAAGGCACAATAATACATTAGGGACTTTAAGCAAATTGCTACAGTGACCTCTACTATGATGGTCGTGGATTAGAGTCCTGAAGAGAGTATGTCACTGTTGCCCGTCAAATTTCAACTTTATGCAAGTGGCACCCAAAAGTCACTACAGGGCTTCTCGCTCATTTGGTTTTGTTGTTAATAAAATGCAGGGAAGACTGAATTACTGCCCAGTGAACGAGAAGTGTTAAATACTTTCTTGATTAAGAGTAAAACAATATGATAGGTTTTAAACCAGTGAAAAATAGGGGAAAAGTAGAATTCTATACTCATGTAGAATCGACTATGCCATCACATTTTGTGCTTCGGCTAAAGGTCATTTTCTGGACATCATGCACACGGCGTCCTTTTTGGACTTTATACTCCCAGTTGCCATAGTAGTGATCACTGTAGCCATTTCACTAATTTGGTATTATTGGCATCTTGCCCATGAGGGGCAGTTATTTGGTACTGGTCTGTCTGACAAGTATTTATCAACCTCTCTGGTTATTTTCCCAGCTGCTCTTTCTTTGCCTCTTTGACATGCAAGTTTCACAAAAGGCGTCAAGAACAGCATTGATGTTTCTTAACTTTGACCTCTCTGAGCATAGTGGCCTGATGTACCTGGGTGGTGGATCACTGCCCCCCTCTTCATTGTCTTCACTCTCCTGGATAGCCTTGTGTAGGTCTAATAAAGCCTTTGTTTTGGCTTTGTCATCCGGAGAAAGGTGTGCCTTGTCCAACACGTCTGTGCGATTCATCAATTTCTGAACACCAAAAAAACATATTTAGTCACAGTGGCATGACTACTGTGATCAACATTTAATTAACATTTACTTTGTTCTTCAGCAACAGTTTAGTCTGGCAAAATAGTCACCCTGACTATTTTGAATCTTTAGATTTGGTTCTTGCTCTCTACTCTGAGCAATTTACACTACAATGAAACCTTGCATATAAATGGGAAGGACACTGTTAACATTAAAAATGTCAAAGGGGGGTAGGGTGTGGCACTCGTGCATTCTATAACAATCATAAATTATGTATGCATAAGACAAACATGCAAAACATGTGTTGTTTCCTTAAAAATGAAAGACCCTTGTGCCCTTAAGCTGAAAGATCCAGGTACCCAGGATAAATGTGTTTGAACAAACTAAGACTTCCTTGTCACCCAAGAGCAACAGTAATGCAACAGGGGCCACCAGGCACTGCCAAAGCACATCTCTGTTACAGGACAGGCTAAATAAATCAGTAAGTGGATGACTTAAACTACACATTAGAAATATTTGCACTGCAAGCATTAACAAAATAATGTACATGTATTTTACCTACCTTTTTAGCTCTCAAATTGGCATCTTGTCCAAACTCTGTGTTCTTCAGGTTTTCCATTTTGCCACCTTACCACATCTGGGGGCTACTTCTCTGACTCCAGTACTTAAAAATGGCCCCTAGCAAAAGGAAAGCATGTTAAATGTGCAGGTCTCTAGGAAAGGAATTAAGAGTGCTTCTTGGTGTTGCTAAAAGAATTGTTGGTTTCCTCCTGCTTTTGGTGTGGGTATTATTTAGTGGCTTTTGAATCTTTTGTATTTTATGTCATTAGGAGATTGCACTTGTCGGCAACACCAAGAAACTACAGTGGAACCCCGTTAATACGGTCATCAATGGGCCAAAAAATTTTTGCCATATTAATGGGGTGGCGGTATTAATGAGGGTTTTTTTACAAGAAAATGTATGGTGGTTTTTGTCAGGCTGCCAAAAAAAGTGGCTGTAATAACGAGGTGACTGTATTACCGAGGTGGCCGTTATGCGGGGTTTCACTGTACCAAATTCAAGAAACTTAGAAAAGTGTACAACTTACCTTTTTTCTCTGTTTTGGGCCATTTCTTTTACCCAAAATTCTCCCTCACTTCATTAACCAAAATACCCTCAATGTTTTAGTTCTCCGCATCATTATACCTCAAAGAAATAAAGACCAAAAGAAAATGTCAAATATTTATATCAAAATACTAATAATATATGTATATTATTGTAACAGCCTGGTTCTAAAAAAACTAGAGAGCTTAAAATGAGGCAGTTTTCTGGTGGTGCATTACAAAGACAAATATTTAAAAAATCAAGGTTGCTTTTATCATCGAATAAAGCCCTTATCCAAGTGCTTGACGCACAATACAGAATTAAAGTGTAACAATATAAAAACACTATATAACCGTCTAGTTGATCTCCTTAGGGCATTTTCACAAATTGAAAGTATCATTGACACAAGCACCATTTTGTCCACTCAAAGAAGGATAAATAGAATTTCTACTTCCCACTCAAAGATGGGCATCTTACTTGATTCAATGAAGGTTGCTTTGTCATCGCATAAAGCTGTTACATATATCCTTGTGTTTGAAGCTTAATGACAAATTGAAGTGTAAGGAAATTATATTCCTGAATAATATTCTTGTTTATCTCCTGGTGACTGTTGCAACATTTGAAATATCATTGACACAAGCACTACTTTGTCCACTCAAAGATGGATAAATAGAATTGCAACTTCCCACTCAAAGATGGGCTTCTTACTTGTGTCGATGAAGGTTGCTTTGTCATCAAATAAAGCCGTTACATATTTCCTTGTGTTCGAAGCTTAACGACAAATTGAAGTGTAAGGAAATTATATTCCTGAATAATATTCCTGTTTATCTCCTGGTGACTGTTGCAACATTTGAAATATATCATTGACACAAGCACTACTTTGTCCACTCAAAGATGGTCATGGATAAATAGAATTGCAACTTCCCACTCAAAGATGGGCGTCTTACTTGTGTCAATGAAGGTTGCTTTGTCACGAAAAGCTGAGCCAATAGTCACGCAACGAGTTCACGCACAATGCAGAAATCTCACTGCAACTCCTGCAACACAATGCGAATCCTGGACTTAGCTACAGAATTCCTCCCTAACAATGGGGATCTCGAGGAATCCCTATTAAAAATTGTTGACAGCAGCAATAAACACTACATCAAGGATGCTCTTCGGAAGAGGCAGCTCATGAAAGTCCAAATGAAAACTATCCTTGTTGGTTTGGACGAGGAGGGATTTTATACAAAAGGGAGTTTATCCAACGTTGTTTGTAGCCAGTTTGTTCAGTACTTTGCCAGTGGGAACTATGGATTTGTAAAGATATTAAATTGGAATGATCTGATTGATCAGGAGATTGAAAGCACACGAGAGCTACTGAAGGAGGCCATCTCTATTCTCAATAAGGTTCATAATTAAGCTTACTTACAACTATCATAATTATGTATGGACCTTAAGAATTAGGGAGCATCTTTTCTCTCTTTCTATTCATTTTTATTTTATTTTTATTTATTTTTGTGGTTTTTCTATATTTTTTTCTATTTTCTGTCCCTTTTTTTTATTTTTGGGAGGAGTGAGGGTGGGGGTGGGGGTGGGGGTGGGCAGGTGGTCCTTAGGGGCTTAGCCTGCATAGCAGGCACTAGGAATTAATGGGCACAAGAAAGAATGGGACGCGTGAGGGAGACACGTGACATGCGTCCCGTTCTTTATTGCGCCCATTAATTCCTAGCGCCTGCTCTATTATACCTGTAAAGAGCTGAAAATTGATAGTGTACTCTAAAAAGCTTTAGACAGGGAGGCTCAGAGCTCCAAGATCCAACCCCTCACCCTTTTATACACCATTTTTGACAGAAAAGGTGCCCCCTTCGTATTTCATCTATAAACAAATGGTACTCCTTTCACATGCCTAATTACATCCCTGCTGTGAATACTCTGTCTAGGTTAAAAGTATGAATAAATCACACAACCAGAATGTTTCTTAAAAATTCATCTGTAAGCCCTTTTACAGACCAAAATGAAGGATGTTCCTACCCTTTTAAATACTTCAACTAGTTGATTCCCTACCCTTTCATACACCTAAACCTTGAAAAGGTACCCCTTCTGGATGGAGCCTCCATGTATAGGCCATCATAGGGAGTACTCCCCACCCTCTGGGGGGCTGAAACTAATAGATATAGTGCATTTAAAGCCCAACTAACAAGTGCAGCATTGAGTAGCACTGAATGTGATAATAATATTAAAGGAGGAGAATGTGACACAAATCTCTCCACCTCTTGTATTGTTTTCTTGTATTTTCCTCTATATTAACAAACTGGTTTTAAGACTCAGATTATGTATGGTTATTACATTATAAATTCTAAATGGTTATACCTTGTAACATAACATTTCATTTTCAATTTTTGCAGTATGCCCAGCAAAGTGGACATGAAAGGTGTAAGGAAATCTTCAGTATAGTGACCAAGAATCATAGACTGAAATTAGCTGGCAAACATGGCTGGTCTCAACAATCCAAGTGTTTATATTTGGCAGGATTTCGCCTTATAGATACCAAGGCCTCTTCAATTTTAAGTGACATTTGTCTCCTTGTTTACAAACCTGATTTGATTCCCAATTTTCAAGTTGAGGATGGAGTGGTAGGAGATTATGTGGAAACCTCTGCTGTTTTAAACATTTGCGAAGATCTCATCACTTCCCTAAGTGTTTCAGAAGAAGGAAGACAAGAAGCCCAGTGTATTCAAAGCTGTATGAAAACAGTAAATGAAAGTTCAACGTTGATGTTAAGTGCAGTCCAGTCATCTTTTCTTTGGAATGGTAAATACAATATATTTTTGCATAATTTACATTTTAGTAAATTTATGTTTAGGAGACAGCATGGCGGAGTGGTTGCCAGTTACCTGTGTTCAAATCCTTGTTTAGTCACTAGCTGCGGTTGTTCTTGCTATGACCTAAGTTCTATGTCTCAATCCTTAATACAAAGCAAGATGGCCTTATCTTACTGAAATAGGGTGTGTTTGATTGGCTGTTTCAAGAAAATGATATATAAAGTATTAATAGAATAAACTCATCCACTGGGACTTTTGACTTTTGATTCTATGTGATTTCTTGGAATTTTGACTTGCAAAGGGGTTTTGCCGGAATTTTGTATTGATATTGACGTTTTCTTTTTATGAGTATTTTACTGAAGTTTTGTGTGTATAAGCTGTTTATAAGATTTTAATAAAGTATTTTGACATATTAAAAAATAAATAAATAAACTCTTCATTAGAAATATCATTATTGTTTTGGCATCCATTGTATTGTATTCTCTAAAAATCACCTTTAAGTGTTAATTTAAACATATGTTTCGGTACTTATTGTGGGCCATAATGTAAAAAAAAGTTGGTCAGAAGAAATTGTGAAAGTCAATAATAAACCACTGATCAGTATTTTTTCAGCAACCATATAATGTAAACCAAAACATTAAAAGTTTTCAAAAAATTTTCTCTATCTTATTAAAGGATTAGCAGGCCCTTCTCCTGATAATCAAGTTGTTATTGTTGGCGGAGGTTTAGCAGGCCTTGCTGCCTCATTGTCGCTGTCTAAGGCTGGGTTTGATGTGGTTCTGTTAGAGGCTGCTAACTACCTAGGTAGGTTGATTGTTTTGACCTTTTCTGTGCTTTGAATATGCAGTATTTTACTTATACCAGTAATACTGTAAGAAGTAGTTCCAGAAACAGTTTGAAATTAGTTTCCAAAGTAAGATACCATTTTAAATCCTCTATTAAGCCCCCTCTCTTAAAAAAGCCTCCCCCCCACCACTTTTAGGTGAATAAAGTTAATAAGCCACCCTCCCCCTCTCTTTTAACCCTCCCCTCCCCTCCTAGCAATGAGAGATATTCATATTTCTAATGGGGTGCTTCTTACAAGGTCTAACTTTCGAGTTATAACTTAAGTAATATGGTTCGACTTATCAGGAGTCAACTGTAAGAACCACCTTATCAGAAGCTCCCCCATTAGAAACACTGATAAAAGTCAAATGATTTTAAAGTTTACCATGGAATGGGAATGGCTTTCATATTGGGCAATTCCAGAAAATATCCATACCCAACCACGGACGGCTTCCATGTTTTAACCCCCCCTTGCCTTCGGAAATTCCAAAATGCGCTACCCCCCCATGCCCTCAGAATTCCATAGTCGTGAACCCCCCCTCCCCTTCAGAATTTCAGGTTTTTTTGGAAGTACATTTTCGACTTAGCAACACCTATAAGAACAAACGAACATGAATTTATGCCTCCTCAAGGCTGTGATCTAGCGGCGCCAGGTGACAAGCTTTACTCTTCAGTGACAAGAAAAACCTACGCTAGTTGCCAGGCCGTGCAAACTCCTTTTTAAGTCCGAATTTGGCTATAAAAATAAACACCACTTAAGGTAATTTTACTCCTCTTTGTTTTCTTGTGCTGTTTTGACGTTTACAAAGGAAAATAGCTCAAACAGACTGTTAAAATCTTTTGGCGGTCAAATATACCGTCGAGTCGTGTTGCGTCCTTTTATACGTCATGTAGTGCGCACGAAAGGCGTTCTAATCTGACAGGCATTCTTGGAAGTGAGGGACTGGTGCGAGTTTTTTACTGTTTATCGGACGGTTTCGGACGGGAGTAACAAGAAATTTGCAAGCGGTATTAAAAGATACATTTTCAGTTTTTATTCACGTGACAAGAAATTCATCAAGGTAAATGTGAAACCAACGTTTTACTGTTCACTTCTATAAGTTATGAGCGTAAACACGTGTCTGATCTATCGATGCTTGTCTTCTGCTTCCGCGGTTATACGTTCGTGGTTTATTTACGAACTACAAAAGTCCACAACAATAGCGTTTTCCAGGGACTTACTTTACACTTTCTACTCCAGAAATCCCACCTGTGGAATTCCCCCATACCTTCGGATTTCAAATCGTAAATACCCCCCCCCATGCCTTCAGAATTCCATAATCGTGAATCCCCCCTCCCCTTCGGAAATCCTTAAAGCCGTCCGTGGTATGGTATGGATATTTTCTGGAATCGCCCATTATGCTATTCTGCATCATTTTATACATTTTCATTTGATGTCATCACAGCATTTGAATCTGTGTATAAAATCATTCAAGTGAATTCACATGTCTTTTGTGGCTTGATTGACCATCGTAAAATGGCGAGCCTCTCTCCAGTTGGAGACATAAAAATGGTGTTCCCAATTAGTTCTTCCATGCAAAATACATTGACACTCAAATAAAGTGCTTTTTTTTAGTTTGGGCCACCTCGGCTGCCATTGATATTTGGCACAATAAATGACCTTAACTGAGACATTATATTTTGTAATTATATATTTTAATAGGTGGCAGAGTAAAGCAAGCACAGCCTTTCAAAGGTTTTGGTTCCTTTGATCTTGGTGGAGAATTTATCCATGGATCAAACACAGTCGTTAATAAGCTTGCTCTTGATAATGGCTGGCTCGTCCTTCCTGTAAGTACAACATATGTACTAGTGACTCTTACTGCCTCAGTTTCTTGGTGCTATAACCCCACAGAGGGAGATACCAGTGGCAGGTCTAGAAGAGGTGCCCCCGGGGGTTACTGGGGTAAATTTTTGCTGGGTATGTGCCGCTGGCCTCTCAGAGCCCTTACCCCATTATAGTCTATTCTGTGATCAATAATAGAGCCCATCTTAGTCAGTTATGGGCAAATATGTAATTTTTGCGATCCCAGCTAAGTCACTTTCTATTTTTATGAAATTGACCCATTTTTTAAACTGAATGAAGAACACTTCAATTTTCACCTACAGTGCAAACATTCTGGTACTTTGCAAACCGTAAATGAAGTATTGTGTTACCCCAAAAAATCCGAAAATGTGCAACCCCATTCTAGTAACTCTATGGAAAATGTGACCCCATTAGTCAATCCAGTCATGAAAATACCACCCCATCCAGCAGCACATTCCCATTAGCCTCCCCCTCGGAGATGTGCCCAGGTGATTTGCCACCCCTTTTTTGGACCAAAAAAGGACCACAAAACCAGCTTAATTAGGAGATTTATCTTCAATAGCAGGCTCACCTTATCCAGGGCTCTAAATAACCTTTTCCATATTAACCCTTTAAGCCCCAAGATCCACATACAAATTCTCCAAACTGATCTCCATACATTTGTTTTAAGAATGGTTCAGAGAATTTGGTTTAAGATTGAAGTGTTCTCCCTTTGGTAATCAGTTTAGTAATTCTCATAACCTTTACTCTTGATGATCTGCTGATGATGTTTGGAGAAAATTGATGTTGATCACTATTGGGACCTAAAGGGATAAAGTGGATGCCAATGGTGAAAAAAGGCGGCAATGACGAGGAAAGGGACCTAAAATCTTAACTGACAGCAATGGTGCCACAACATTGCATGGAGGGGATGAGGGGGGGAGGGGAAAGGTTCATTTTCACCTTTGGAAGTCAGTAAAACGTCAGAAAGGCCCTTTAGGGTGCAGTGTCTCAACTAATTTTGTCGCCAATTGCATCTTTTTAAAATTGAAACCTATGCCATTTGTCAAGGCTTGGATGAGTGCACCCTACCCTCCCCACTACCTCAGTGATGTTGTTGCCTCTGCGTCCTGCGTCACTGACGCATAAAAATCCCCAAATACACAAAGTAATTCATGATATAAGCGTTCTGTAGGACGCAAGACCCATCGATTGATGTGAACTTTTGTATTTGTAGAAACATCCCATTTCTGTAATTTCTGTGAAAGTTATTATGGCTGTTGTTTAATGATGCATATTTTGTTTAGCCTTTGTTGTGCTTTAAAATAGAAGGACTATATTTTAATTTCGGTATACTGTAATACACAGTTTTGGGGTCTGTCTTCAGATTAACTGTCTGATTACGTAAAGGCCCAAGCATTTTCAATTTCGACTCATTTGTTCTGGACTAGGACTCATGATTGTTCACAAGATGAGTCCCAGGATGCACCATAACTATTTATAACAAAATCACTGCTCAATGTCTGAATATATGACAGTTGGTCCTCTTGTATGATAGTAGCAGATAAGGCCAAATGAACCCCCCCCACCACCACCACCCAAAAAAACCAATCAAACAAACCTAATCAAAACAAAAGCATTCCTTATTTCACTGAAAGTCAATAAAAGCTAAGGCACTAGAGTCACTATAACCTTTTGCACCAGACTTTTTAAAAGATTCAAAACATCAAAGAGAGTTCAGAAAATTTGTACACATGTCTTTAACCCATTCGCCCTTGGGAATTTTGGCAAAAGACGCGTTTTGAAGCTAGTCGAGCAGTTTTCTGGTTTCTGTGCTAAAACTTACCAAAAAGCCTTTTGAAGTTCGTTCACTTCGCGGCCCTCTGTACCAATATGCAAAATAAAAGCAAAATACCGTAAAATTCCGAAAATAAGCCCCCCAAACAGGTAACGCAAAAAATCCTCCGTTAAATCGCCCCTCCAAATATAAGCCCCCCGGGGGCTTGTACTTTTGAAAATTGCCCTCAAATACAACGTAAAACAACGCAAAAACGGTAAATTTACTTCCAACTATATGGCTAGCCCAATCGACTTTGAAACGCAAATTTCCCTCCGTAGATAAGCCCCACTGAATATATGCCCCTCCAAAAATAAGCACCTCAAAAAGGGCCTTGGGAAAATGTAAGCCCCGGGGTTTGTTTTCGAAATTTTACGGTATTAGCTTCCGATGTAGGATTAGATGGAAGTGCAGGTGGGTTGTGGAACAAGACTTTCGTCGGAATTTTCCGGTCAACTTTACATGGTTTTTTGCCTTTTCCTCGGGTCTCCTTGACTGAACAGTGCTCATTCTGGTATGTTTGAAATGATCTCTTTAACCTGCGCAAGTTAATAGCGGACAAATTTGTCATTGACCGCCAAAACTGATGACGTCACAAGTGATACAAGGGACGCAGTTACGGGCGGAACAGGGACAAGTGGGTTAATTATTAATTATTTATCTGTTGTAATTTGTTTGGTATGAAAATCAATACCCTTGGTTAATAATCCTCAGATCACAAATATAACCCAGCTTGACACCCAGCTTAACTCTATGATGGTCGCTAGCTATCATTTTAACGTTTCAAATTTTACTTGTTCCTGAGTTGCATAACGTTTTTCCTCTAAACCTTGCAGGCAGCCCAAAGTGAAGATGAAGAAGAAGGTGAAAAAATTTACTACAAAGGAAAATTTTACTCTCTGTCCAGCAACCAGCGAGAAATTAAAGTCGCCAGAGATACGTGGGAAGAAATAATCAGCAGTAGATACAATCACCAAGGTAATGAGGATGGCTCACTGTCAGATTCCCTGAATGACAGGCTCCAGGACAAGAGTTTGCCGCAGGATATTTTGGACATTGTTGACTACTGGAAACTAAGGATTTCAGCTGGCCCTTTGACACATTATGGAGTGCGTGAAGGAAGAAGGAGAATGGAATCGAAATTTGAGTGGGGCCTTGGAGATTGCAGGTGAGCTCAGTATTTTGTAGGTCGTACAGTATGACTTGATAGTTTGTCTTCGGACAAAGTAATGGTTGTACTGTGCAATGTGGTCCTAACTTTTGAATTCAAGTATGACCTTGGAAAGGGTGGCCATTCAAATTAAAGCTTTTGAGCAGTGCCTTCCTGTGGTACTGTTTATTGTGCGTCAAGAGGTAGTTTTACTTTTGAGTTTGTGGATGAAATCCTAAAGTGTGACCATTCAACTGAAAGCTTCTGAGCATTCCTTTCATGTGTTACTTTTTATTATGCTGTACAAGGTGGTTCTAATTTTTGAGTTTGTTGATGAAGTCCCTCTCGGGGAGCTTGTCCTTACTTTTTACCTATGTTTGACACTTCAGACTTGCTGAATCGTATTCCCAGCTGGTAAAGTATTACTTAGATAACACCACAGATGTGGATAAACGACTCAACTGGCAAGTTAAGAAAATCGTTTGGAAAGGTAAGGAGTAAACAGTCATCTTTTAGATAAGTATACAGTATGTATGTTTGATTCTGTAACTCTTATTTAGGTTAACTGTTCTTGCTATGCTTGAATATACAAGGTGTGCGATGTTGAAGTTTTAGGTTAAACTGCAGTGCATCAGTTTACTTTCACGCACCCGAAAGCGCGCGAGTCTCTAGGCTCGACACACGTGCCTGTTCCGACCCTCTTTGTCCGTTATCACACTTGTCTTAGAAGTCTGGCTTGAGGACCGTATACGTTCGAACAAAAGACTAACGACTGTATTGCAGTCTAAGGTGTTACTGTTATTCTGATTAAAAATGAAGGAAGTATTACAGAAAAAAACTTGTGATGTCATAGACGACGATTTTTAATAATAATAATAATAATAACAATAATAATGACAATCTTTATACAAGAAGCTCACTTCACAAAGAGTGATATTCACTGACGCCCTGTAAAACAATAGAAAAATAAATGATCTTAGATAAATCAATACGTAATAGTAATGATAAGTAAAAAGTTAAGAACAAAAATTTAACTAATATAAGCTACAGGTTAAAAATGTTAAAATGTCAGATAGATTAAAATAAAATATTAAAGGCTGTAAATGTTTAAAATATACAGCTTTTACTGCTCTGTTTAAAAAGAAGAAGAGCGTTAATTTCTTTAAAAGATGCGTCTAAAAAGTTCCATTCCTCAGCGCATTGATAAAAAAGTCTCTGCTTTCCGAAATTCCTTTTCACGAGAAGAAGACAGTATGTTTGTGTTAAAACCCTGCAACTTGAAATAGCCTGCGAAAACATCCGTTTCTCAAGAGCGAGGAGAAACGGATTTTTTCGCAGGCTAAACTTGAAAAGACGTCAGAACGTTTTAGAAGACAGTTTAGACTCGTGGTATTCCCAAAAATTAATAATAAAAAATTTGAGATCGAGAAATGGTACTTTTACAAAAGGTAAGGTCGTTTGATTGTTTTCATTTTTCCTCTTGTAACTACTGCGGACTAAGGCTCAGTTCATACGTCGTGCTTCTGCCATGCCGACTTAATTTGTGAATAAGTTTGACAAAAGCACTGCGGAAGCACGACGTATAAACTGGGCCTAAATTTCGGCGGAAAAGTGATCTAAAATGTATAACCGGTCTGGGTAACGCCCGTCAAAGGCTTAGTTTGGGGGTAACTGGCTCCAGGTCAGGGAAGTCTGGTTTAAAACGCTGACATAACTGTGTAAAGTCGATTTTCTATGCAACATTTAGTTTTGAAACATTTGCAACTCTCCGCTAAGGCTAAGTGTTTATTTCACGTTCAGTGAGCGCTATTTTTTTGCAGATGAAGACAGGCACAGATTAAATGCTGGTGGAAGAATTCTTTTGAAGAATCAACACGGGGAAATTATAACCGCTAAGTACGTCGTTATTACTGTCCCGCAGTACAATCCTCAAAGATGGGGACATCACTTTTGTTCCAGAACTTCCCGCTGACAAAAACAGAGCCATAAACACGATCCAGATGCTTGGAGCGTGGAAAATTATTTGTCAATTCAAACGCCGCTTTTGGCCCGAGAAACTTCATCAAATTTACAGTGTACGGGGATTTACAAGTGAAATATGGATGTGGTCGCGTGACTCGGCTGTTAATGACAACAAGTGTCACGTGGTTGTTGGGTTTGAAACTGCTGAGTCTGCGGAACGGAAAAGTAGCCTCAGCGGTCAACAGGTCTTGGAGGGATTCTTGAGCTATTTGGATGAGATGTTCGGGTAAGAAAATTTTGATATTCGTAAGTACTTAGGCCGAAGTCATTTCGTGGCAAAAGGGAACAAAAAGTCAGTATTCACGAAAAAGAACGGTCTCGTATCATCCCTGCATTAGGTATGTTATACGCTTTCTAAACCATTACATTATTGCATCGTGCAACCCAGTGTACGCCTATTATAGGCGTCTAGTGCAGAGAGCTCAACGTTCTCTCATTTTTTCACCGCACAAGTTATGATTCGACATTCCTGATCCTATGCAGGACGCGTGACACATATAAACCTCCGAAACGGCCTAGCTTCTAATGAGTCTCCCCGTAGCTAAGTGTGCGCGTTCGGTATTTGGGACCCGGGGGGATTTAGTGATGTGATTGGTCCAGATTGCATCCCCGTTGGGGGTTCAAACGTTTTGTCCCACTCACATGACGAATATGACGTTTTCCTCAAAACCAAGTCTCGTCTTGTTAACCGGAATCTCTGGGGACTATCTTACCAATATGTCTTATCTTATTTGTTTTATTATCATCATCATTATTATTATTATTATTGTTATTATTTAATTATTTATTTATTTTTCACAGCACACCCAGCGATCCTCGTCCTGCGACCGATTCCTTCCTGGACTACGAGTATTTTCATTGGTCAAACCATCCCTTCATTCGCGGTGGATACACATCCCCTACTGCCCATGCGTACGATCTTCGTCACCTGCTTGCTAGGCCTGTTGAAGATCGCTTGTTTTTTGCGGGTGAAGCTACAAGTCTTCGATCCTGTTCAACTGTGCCAACTGCGATAGAAACCGGAATCTGCGTGGCAGATCAAGTTTGTCTTGCAGCTAAAAAGGGATCGTGTTCTAAACTATAGTTTGCAGTAATGTGAAGATCTCGAGTGTCTTTCGTGGGTTTCCCTCGGTTATGAAAACAGTGAAGGTTTTTCTTTCTTCAGTGACTATTATTTTCCTACGATCTTAGTCTTATCTTTTGTGCTTACCTTATTGTTTCAGGCCACTCGTGATTCCCGGAGAATGAGTCAATTTCATGCAGTACATCTTAGTTTAGCGTTTTTAAGTGGTGCCATTTTGAGACAACACTAGGGAGCTTTCGCAACGGCTACGGCGACGGCAACGAGAACAGCAGAAAAGCAGCAAAACAACAACTTTGCGCGTGCAGCACATGCACTTTTTGGTGCATTTCGTTGCCACTGTTTCACGAATACAACTTGAAACTTCCTAGTTTTGCGTTGTATGAAGGACGAGTGAACATGAGAAAACGATTTTCTTTTTTCTCTTTCAGAACAATGATACAGTTGTTTAAGTCACTTTGAATTTGACACAAGAAAAATTCGCCAATATTTTCAATTTGAACGAGATGGAATAAGGGCGAAGAAGTTTGAGGCAGCGCGAATTCACTTTTTGTGTGACGTTTTCGCTGCCATCGCTGTTGTAGATGCTTAAGCTCCCTATTTCATCAAAGAAAAGACTTTGTTCCCTACTAGCCATATGTTGTTCCTGTAAACTAAGCTAAAAACTGGAAAATTGACGATACACACATCCAATCAGGACGGAAACCGCATTCACACGATCAATCTACGATCAAGGAAAAACTTTGCAACCAAATCTTCTGTTGCAAAATGCTGTTGCTAAGCACAAAAATTCGGCTGTCGCTTTTTACCTTTTATATAATCTATTTAACAATTATTCCTCGAGCCCGAATGGGCTCTGAGTCAATAGCCGCCATGAGGCTGAAGGCCGAATGGGCTATTGACTCAGAGGCCATGAGGGCGAAAGGAGTAACTGTTTGAGTAAAATCCAACTAGTTGGTCAAAAACATCGAGACAAAACAACTTTAGCTAGCAAAACGCGATTCAGTCGCCACTGTTTTGAACTTAGCACAATAAACATGTTGTACCCCATGAAAAAATTTCTCATATTATTACACCCCTACCTCTCCACAATGGCCAATTTTTTCTGTCCCCAAGGTGGCCGATGTGGAGAGGTTCAACTAACTTTCGACTGTATTTAATTTATTTTTCTTTAGTTCTTTCTTTAGGCTTTCCTACAATCAAGCTGCACAGTATAAATTTTTGCGGATTGCATTCAGGCGTAATTGAATTTGAACAAAAGTTTTTGTTTCGCTCCAGGCAAAGGAGTTTTTTTGGGTTCATTGGTTAAGCTCTATAGGTCTAATGGAAATCTAAACAGTAGCACGAGATAAGTTTTGATTTTTGCTCCTATAAACTTTGTCTGGAATCGGAGGCCAAGGCGGAAAAAATTCATTATTGAAAAAGGAAATAAACAAGATGTTGTCATCTGCATATCTACTGATAGTGAGGTAACAAGTTTCGAAGATTTTGACAACATGATAAAGTTATTGTTTGGTTATGGACAGAAGTTAACGGACAGTCTGTTAAGTTAACGGACTGCAAAATTGTCCGATTTAAACAAACTCGTAGGGGGATAAAGCTTGGTAAAGCACTGGCTTGCTCAAGGCATACATTATTTTAAATGCTAGAGGTACAGGGTCGTCGTCTCTTAGTTAGTCCGGTCCAAGTTAGCAAGACGGCACAGCTGTAAGAACTCTTGACTGATCCAAATCTCTCTAATCTTTAATATAATTATTATTGCTCGTAGATTAAACCTCGCAGTTTATATCGAAAATAACATGAAAGGTAATTCAAAGTTGTACAGTTAATCACGCCCTGCTGGTTATAGTTTTGCACCATTATAAGAACTTGATCGCTCAGTACTGTTCTTTTCTTGTGCAGAGTCCATGCACATAGAGACATGTTTCAAGATGGCATAACTTAATAAAATATTTGACAATAAAAGAATCTCCAACTGTTAGCGGCGTTCTGCTGACCCCAGCATCTTCAGTACTGAACCAGAACCGAAATCGTCATGTTCGCGTGTTTTTTTAGTTCTGTAACAAATGGAAAGCAAACTAGCAGTTAAAAAAAAGCGTGATTAGACACCTCCACTGTTAAATATATGGGTGAAAACAGTGTAACGTACAGTTTTACATGAGTCGTAGTTCACCGTCCAGTTTAGCACGTGGCGAAACAAATTAGTAAAACGAAGGAAATCGAAAGGAAAAGATTGCGCGCATGAAGGGTTCTAGGAATTCTCTTTCACTGTTTCTCGGTCGATGGGTTACAATTAGTTTTTGTCTTTCTTTCCTGCTGCTTGTCTCATAAGAACGCCAGTTACGCGTAAAATGGATAACAAATCTGAGAAAATTACATCTAGGTGGTTGGATGTGTTGTATAATTCGATGAGATTAGAGGAATCTAGCTGTTTTTGGGCGGGTTTTCTTCTAAGCATTTCAGTGTCATACTTGTTAATAATTTTAAAATTTGCCGTGGAGCAGCTTTTACAAAACAGGCCATGAATATTAATCCTAGTTCTGCCCGACTAACAGAGAGCGAAACAGACGAACTCACCTGCTTGGCATGGATCACACTCACATATATTCTCTTCTGGGCCGCGGCGATTGAGTTTACAACCATTTTTTAAGCACCAAATTACAGCGCCGACGATGATAAAAGCCGAAAGCATCATGAATCCCATCACGGTTTCTCTCTGGAAAGGAGGTCGTCAGCAGCACTTGGCTATCTTACAGATTAATGAATTTCAAATGAAACTATACAAGATAATATAAAAATTTCATTTAACGTCAATCAATGTCTTAGCTGGCCCAGGCTATCATAAGTTGTGTACTATGGATACCACTTTGTTGACAATCGATCGCATTCAAGGGCAAGTGACCGAGGAAAATGAGTAGATAAGAATTATTACTTTTTTATTTAAGAAAAAATATCACATTAAATAAATAACTGTCTGTTCATTCTTGAAAACGGAGACGAATCCTTCACACTGTTTTGCTGAACATCCCAGTAGTTAACGGCGTTTTTCTTTTTAACGAAGAAAACTGAAACTAGCAATTAACAAGTGATTACGCCAAACGTAAACATTAAGTTTTTCTCCTTGTAAACACTGAATAAAAGGAAGTGTTACACTTTCTTATATAGCTTCTGCCGAGGATTTCTCTCAATCTACTGGGGCGATATCATACAAAAAATAAGCAGCAACGTATTTTCGAGGCCCTCGTAGCGGGGTACGTATGTTCTTAATTTAATAGTCTGAATTTCATAAACTCTCGTCTTCGTCTACATTTCATAAAGTGACATTTTCAGCAAATTATAATAAACGCGTCAAAGTTTGAAAACACGCGATTTCATTTTTAAAGTGGCGTTTTCGCTGGCGTCGCCGTCATCGATGCTAAAGCTCGCTATTGAAGAGGAAGCCATGTATCTGTCGGTATTTTACTCTTGTATTTGCAGTTGTCTTTGTCGCGGAGTAAATGAATTTCCGTTAGGGTTAGGTTTTGTTTGGCCCGAGGCAAAAGAGAGTTACTTTTTGTCTGCTTTATTGGTTAACAAACGAAAGCTCCACTGACAACGCTACTGAAATTGAAAAACCGATGTTCTATTCTCAGTTAATACTTTCTGAATGGTTATAATCTAGATCGAGAGAAAACTGCATATTTTGCCTCCATTATACACCCAAAAAACTAACGCACTAACTGAAGGAGTGGAAGGTGTTTGTTAGCAGATGTCATTCTCCACAGTCAACTCTGCTAAAAACGATTTTTTGCCCACTGATAGACGGCAAGCTTTTCCTTAAACACACCTTTGTGTGAACTTTGTAAAATGTTTTTGACGTCATCTGTGATCTACATGTTTTTATTATCAATTAAAAATGATAAAAAAACTTTCCAAATTAAAAGAGATATGCTAAATAAAATGCACTGTCTTCTAAAAACTAATAACCAACTAATAAAAATACTATCAAATCTACTAAAAACTACTAAAAAAATCCTACTAATCCTCTGTGTGAACTAAATGCAGGATCAAGAGAAGCTAAGAGAGTTGAGAATCGCATAAATTCATCGGAATTTAACCTCTTTCTGTAATTACACATTGTGTTTGTAGCCAAGTCCGATGTTTTTTCTTTGGTTCAACATCTACATTGATATATCATAATAGGGAAACTAGCACTTGAAAAATCGCATTCAAATGTAAAAGAGTAGATAAGAAAGTTCTAGAAGTCAGCCACGTTAAAACGTTTTTTAAGTCCCCATCAACACATGCCAAATTAAAGTTTTACCGTAAAAAAGTTATTTTAATAATCTTAGCGGAAAAAATTTAATAATTTAAAAACGGTAAATATTCTAATAATTTTAAAATGTTAAAACATCTTAGTTTTCGGGTGTCATCGCTTACTAGTTACAACCCTTGGCTGGCAAAACTCACCAATTTAAACAACGAACGGAAACAGCTGAAAAGGGCTAAAAGGTGGCCAATTTTGAAGCTGTTTATCGCAATTATGTTCATTTTAACCAAAATTATCTAAATAATGACTGTTCCTTCATACTTGCTTAAAAACAAGGCCTAAATACAAGAGAATCTTTTCAAACCGTTCTGCTGATCTTCCCATAATAAACGGTGCTTTCTTTTCAACAAAGAAAACTGATAGAACCTAGCGATTAAAATGCAATGAGTAAACATTGAAGAAAAGGAAGTAAAGCCTTCTCTTTTAGAAGGACTTCCCTCAATTATAGCTATTGGTCATACAAAAAAGGAACAGCGACGTGAGCCCTTCAAGTAAGCCGCTAAATTACAAACAAGGAAGGTAGGATAGCTGAGAAGTGAATGCGGCTCTTGGGAGAAGTAAAAAGATTGATCAAGATCCGAGGCTTTTCTCAAAACAGTACAGAATCGCAAGAACGGTAGATTTTCTTCAAGTGCGTTGTGGATGAGGCTGTATCGTC